TCATTCATTCATTCATTCATTCTGGGAATGGAAGATTTATGAGCGACTGAATAATTTTCAATCTTCTCCGAGGCCATGCATCAGAGGACAGAGGAGGGGAGGATATTTACAAACTTCACAGAGCTGCTGCAGAAGTGGCAGCGGTGCAGGAGAGTGTTTTCAGAGAGCGCTGTGTGTTTCAGTCTTGTAAAAGTGAGCAGTTAGATTTTCCAAAATGACATTTATTGGGAGGTGACTTCTCCAAAAACTATATTTTCTAACAGCGTGCAGCTGTGATGGGTTGTGTACAAGCTAATAGTGTGTCAGAATGGTATATATTTATACTTCTCATCCAAACACAATTAAATTCACTCTATAGGAGACACAGTTTATCAGGGTAGGATGATTTAAAGTAATAACAACTCAGAATAAAATAGGAGTAACGACTTTCTACTTATTACCTTTTTAAAAAATGTAGTGAGTAGAAAGTACAGATAATTGTGTAAAAATGTAATGAGTAAAAGTAAAAAGTAGGCTGAAAAATAATTACTCAAGTAAAGTACAGATACCCAAAAATTCTACTTAAGTACAGTAACAAAGTATTTGTACTTAGTTACTTTACAACTCTGCGTTTTGGGTGATTGAACCCTCCTGCTGCCCTTGAGCCAAAATGCCAGAAGCCTCAGTTTTACCAGGAGTTGTTTTGACCCAAGGACAGCAGGAGGATTAAATCAAACATTTTCTTACACTTATCTAAATTAAAATAAATCCAACTAGAGTTTGGAGGTTTTGATCTTTTTCATCCTGTGTAGCAATCAGAGACAAGCTAACACATACCCATCCAGTTTTCCTTTGGTCCCGTCCAGCACCTCCACATTGTGCTGGTCCTGCAGGCACCAGTTCACACTGGACTCCTTGGTCTTGCCTGTGTGGCGCGTGGAGTCGTAGACGCTCACTCTGCCCACCTGCCGTTCAGCAGGAAAGAAACGACATCATGTTCGACTGAAGCGTGAGTCCGAAAATCCCAGATAATTAGAGTAACAACAGGGTGACCCACATCACAATGAGCCAGTTACTGCCTGTCCCTTTCACTGATGGATGAACGAACTTTAAAAACAGCCTAATGTAAGAAATGAGATCGACTGGAACCACCAGCTACTGTATTCCTGTCATTTCTCCTGGCAGTAAAACAAACATCGTTCCACTTCTTCTTAACTGATAGATGGGTTCAATTTACATAAGAAGAAGTGGAACGATGTTTGTTCTAAGAAAGAAAACACAGCTGTGTTGGCAGCTTAATTATTTAATTTAATGAGATTGACCTCGATGTTTGTGATTTATGTCTGTGTCTGACTTTGTTAAAAACTTGTTGAGTTACCTCGGGGTGGTTCAGCGTGAAGGAAGGAGGGAGGCTGCTGGAAAAGGCTTCACCGTCTCTGGCCAGCCGACAGCAGACGGCCCGTGTCAGGTGGCCGTGGCTGTAAAGGTAGCCTGGCAGAGGAAAACATAAAATCAGTCACAAAGCAATGTCAAAGTAGGAACAATGTCCTTTAAACCAGAGACTCGCAACCTATGGGCCGCGGCCCAATTGTGGGCCACAGCGCCACCTTGAGGGCCTCAAAAGAACAACAGTTTTTAACTTTGGGCCACAGAGGGCCGTGGGACC